GGACGCAGGACCAGCGCTCAGGTGTGGACATCCTGTCCACGCAGGGACGCAGGACCAGCGCTCAGGTGTGGACATCTTGTCCATGCAGGGACGCAGGACCAGCACTCAGGTGTGGACATCCTGTCCACACAGGGACGCAGGACCAGCGCTCAGGCGTGGACATCCTGTCCACACAGGGACCAGGTCGTGGACCAGCTCACCTGCTTCAGTCAGCTAAAGTTAGTTTAAGTGTTTTTCTTAGTTCATGTCTTTGATCTTGTTACTGTTTTTCTTTTACATTTTCTACTTTTGTTGGACGCAACTGGGACCTTGTGGACACAGTTTAGTTCCACATGTGGTGTGAAAGAGAAAAAAGAACCTTGACCTTGACCTTGACCTTGCCGGCTGCAGGGAGCTGAGAACAAACCCGTGTGGGTTTGAATCCCGTTTCATTCTGTCGGAGGCGGATCGGCTTCACTTTGGTTCAGAATGAACATTTGGTTCGAGTCAAACGAGCTCCGGGTGCAGGAACTTATTTGACACTTTCAGGTGAATGTTTGGAGGCGGAAAGTTAATCTTAATTTTCATCTTTTGTTAAAAAGTTCATCTTGTAGCTCGTTTCACTATTATTAATATTACTCCCGACGTCTGAAGGAACGGTCTACCTCAATCCAAGGAATTAGATTATGGAATAATCTGGAGAGCGAGTTAAAAGTGCCAGATCGATGTTTATGTTTAAGAGAATGATCAAAGTTGGTTTGTTAAAAAAAAGAAATAGATTAATGAGTATTTGTACGAATTGATGCTCGAGAATGAGTTTATTTTGTTTTAGTTATTTAAAAGATTATTATTGTTTGAATTAATTTTTTGGTAAAAAGAGGCCGATGTAAGATTTTTTCTTCTTTCATTTTATTTGTGATTGTATCTTTTATTGTATATTGAATTGTTTTGTTTTGATTATTAAAAAAAATGAATAAACTTATAAATAAATAAAATAAATAAACTTCTCGCCGTTTGACCCACGTCCTCTGCCTGATGTGAATTCTGTGACGGTATTTAAATTTGTGCAAATGTTTTGAGCCAGCTCTTCATTTTTAAAGATGTTTTTGCTTCAAACTGCCAGACGTCTTGTCGACAGTTCTTCAGTCTTTGCTTCAGTTATTTAGACTTTGGTCAGTTTTTCACTAACTCTGTTCAGTATTGGACCACTTGTAAAGAAAAGTCACAGCATTTGACTCGTGAGTGAATAATATAATATGTTAATATGTGGACGCTTCACCAGCGGCCGGTCGTGAACACTCGGTCCGATCTGCTTCGGTTTGGTTGAATCAACAGGAACGACTCAAGACGACATTAATAAATTAATATTTATCACCAACCAGGTGATTTTATTTCCTGGACTGTTGGTTCAAACAGGTGGATCATCTGAAGGCGTTTCATTTGTCCACTTCACTCACATACACTGCGCTGTCATGACACGCAACTAAAAAATCAACTTTAAAGATGTTTAAAGTCTCTGCAGAACTATTGATCAGTGTAGAATATTGTATAATCTATTCTGACCCATTTACTTTACGGTTGTTGGACTTCTTGTCTTTCAAATTAAACAGAAAGTAAAAACTCGTCTCTTCTTTTGGTCTCACAGCTTCAAATTTCTGTGTAAGAACTAAGAATCAGTTCCGTTTGCCTTCTTGTATTTATGGACTTTGTGTCTCAAACATGTAAATGTTCATCAGAACCAGCAGCGTCTCAGCTCTCGGTCCAGTTAAAAACCGTTTGGTTGTTTCCTGGACGTTAAAAAGTTTCACAGCTGCGCGCCCTGAGGTCCCGACACAACAAGCGAGTTCATCTACTGCGGTCAGCATGCGTCCTATGATTCTGCCATGACTGAAAGCATCTTGCGTTTCTTTTTTTACTAAAACTATTTAAAGACTTGGACTTCACCGCGGTCCGAGTGCGGAGCTGCAGCGTGGACCGGCCTCAGACTCAAAGGAAAGCTGAGACGGCCGCTCCGCCCGTCCGTCAAATGTCCACCTCACTGCTGCATCAGGCGAGTTTTATTTTGAAGGATGGCACAGCAGCCAGCTGTGGCCAGCTGTTAAAAGGAGCGGGGTTCCTCCGGGCGATTTGATAATTAACTGGGGGGTTGCTTTGTGTTCTTCAGAGGCTCAGATAAACATGCACGAGTTTCCATCTTGTGTTTTGAGGCCGTCAGTCTTTTTACATCCTGTGTTCACATGAAGGAGCTCCAGAGTCACTGTCCCAACCACCAGCCCCCCCACGCCGGGTGAAATATTTACAGCGACGGGAGGGGCAGGTGCAAACAGGAGTCAGAGTCATACGAAGGGCGTCATGACCGTGGAGGAGTGGCGGAGGCCCTGGATGGCGGCGTAGGGCCCCTGCTGGAAGTAGTGGTGGTAGCGGGGCATGTGGAAGGACGGGAAGGCCGGCCCGCTGCCCTGCATGGTTCCAGCCAGGGCGGTGGGCGTCAGCGGCATGCCTAACCTGCTGTAAGGGGGCAGGGAGCCCTGGATGGGGTGGGGTAAGGAGGCGGCGCCGGCGCCCATGGCCGAGAGGGACTGTGGGTGCTGAAAGCCTGAGAAGCCCGAGGTGGTGGTGACCCAGGAGCTCAGGGAGAGGTTGTCCGAGGCCGAAAACGCTGAACCTGCAGCAGACAAGAGGTGCGTGGTGGAAACACTCCAAACTTTACGCTCTGGACTCAGAAAAACTAAATCAAGGTTTGTTCTGGAGCAAAACACTGACATCACGTTTAGAGCTGGACCAACGGCACAGCTGTTTTAATTTCAGTCTCATGTTTCCAACACTTGCTCCTCAGACTCTAAATTCTCTGAAGTGAAACAAAAAAGTTCAACTCGTGTCGTCTAAACTTTTATCTAAAGTGCAGCGTTTTCTCACAGTAAAAGTCCTGAAACTTATTTTACTGGACGTTCACACAGCTGGACGAAATCAATTTACCTTTTTTTTTTGTTCCAATTCTTATTCTGAGTTATAAAAATCTGAATAACACACTAAACAATTGTATTTTATTTTCACAACAAAAGAAACAGAAAAATATTTTATCTTGGATTACAGTCACTCTTTACCATGTTAAAAAAAACTTTGGAAATCATTTGTTTTCTTGCTGCACAAAGTTTTGAACAAATCAAAAGTTCAGGATTAATAAAATAAATATTCTAAAATAAGTGGACGTTTGTTCGGTTCTGTCAGTTTTCACAGATTAGCAGAAATAATCCAAGAGCATCGTGACGCCTGCAGCTTACCTCTGGGGTGGGCGGCGTCCTCGCTCAGGTTCTCCTCGTCTCCGGCGTAGGTTCTGATGGGCGAGCGGGCGTACGAGTGCTTGTGGATCAGATTCTCAACACTTTCCCTGCAGCAGAACCCAGAGAGCAAAGCCCCCGAGTGAATCTCTGTGTTTCTGTCACAAAACTGCAAATGGTTTCATGGAGTCACCGTGATCTCTGTGTGTGTGTGTGTGTGTGTGTGTGTGTGTGTGTGTGTGCGTGCGTGCGTGCGTGCGTGCGTGCGTGCGTGTGTGTGTGTGCGTGTGTGTGTGTGTGTGTGTGTGCTTCTGACAGATTGACTGAATAAAATCTCTTGTTCTTTCTGTCCAGAGTCGTTACAATTATTATTAATTTTACAAAGACAGTTGGACCCTGAACCATAGCCTCGGGTTTCAAGCAGCTTCATGGAAGTTCTATAAGTAGCAGATGATCAGCAGGTGTGTAGCAGATGATCAGCAGGTGTGTAGCAGATGATCAGCAGGTGTGTAGCAGATAATCAGCAGGTGTGTAGCAGATGATCAGCAGGTGTGTAGCAGATGATCAGCAGGTGTGTAGCAGATAATCAGCAGGTGTGTAGCAGATGATCAGCAGCTCTCAGTTCCTGCTGGCCTGTGTTTATGCGTCACTTCTCATTTTTGTCCCTCGTTAAGTCAAACTGCAGACTGAAGGACTTCCTGTGTCTTTATGAAGTATTTATTCACATGGAGACATGTTTCTGTGTTTTCTCATTGTACTTTAACCCTGTCCATTTAGTCATGCCTGCATGTGTGTGTGTGTGTGTGTGTGTGTGTGGGGGGGGGGTCATGTATGCATTCACAATCCCACAAAGTGCATTAGCTCATTTGCGTCTTGTCATGCAGCACTTGTCAAACACAGTGACAGAAATGTTAGTGGGAGGCAGAGTGTGTGTGTGTGTGTGTGTGTGTGTGTGTGTGTGTGTGTGTGTGTGCGTGTGTGTGTGTGTGTGTGTGGGTTGTTGGATGGACAGGCGAGGGGTCTGCATCATGAGAGCCATGTGCTCACATTAGCAGTACCCCCCACCCCCCACCGCTCCAATTAGGTTAGGAAAGTGCAATATCTGTCAGCAGAGGAGTACAAATGTGTGTGTTTTTATCAGCGCCGGGCCCCTGCGGCACAGGAGCCACAGCAAAGTCCCACAGTGCACAACGAGGGGGGAGAGGGGGGAGTCAGGGGGCGGGTCATGCTGCTTTCAATCAGTCATGGCAGCCAATTGAATTACAGTGTGTTTTAGTGCAGTGGCCGACTCCAGACTAATGTGATTTCTGCAGCTCCCGAAGACCAATTGATCAGGTCTAATTCACAGCACACCAAGCACGGGGGTGGGGGGTCGTCTGGCTGTCGCTGGCCTCTGGTTGGGATCTTTCAGAGTAGAAATGGGCAGCTGGATTGATTTCATCAGCTGGTTTAGGCCGAGTTGTGCAAGAATTGGGTGATCACAGAAAGTTCTTGCAGCATGGACAGAAATCCTTCAGAGGATTCAGAGCTGGAGATCCACGTCCTCCGAGCACGTCGCATTAAATAAAGACAAGTTAAACTCTAGGAGGAAGACTACGAGAAAGAAAAGGATTAAACTATAAGAAAAGCAGCGGAAGATACAAACGGAGGAGACAAACATAAAAAATACAACATGAAGAATGAAAAATGTACAAAAACAAAAATGAAGTTGGTTCTGACCAATACCAGAATACACACACGATTTATAACTAAATATTATTCTTTTAATGTCTTAGCCTCAAAAAAATAGAAATGAAAAAAAAAAGTATCCGGAAAAAAACAAAAACTACTTTTTCTGTAAATACTGAACTCATTTTTAGTATTTTTTTAAATTATAAAATAAAATAACATAAACACCAGAGGTTAGTGTTTTGTTCTAAGATCAAAAGGTAAAAGCAGCAGCATGTGCATTTTGGATTAAATTGAAAAATGTAAAACTAAATTAAAAAAATTATTTATGTGTCTGTAACAAAAGGAGAAAATAAAAATAAAAATAAAGATAAAAAAGAAAGAAAGAATTCTGCGTCCAGAGGACGTGACTTAACCTCGTCAGAAGGAAAAAAGACTTTTACTGATGAACTAAAATATTTAAATGAAAGTTAAACAACTCAATAAGGAATAAATATTTTAGAAGAAGTAAAAAATAAGAGGAAAATTTGAGAATCAAATTAAAAAATAAAACATTCAAGAAAAGAAAACAAAATAATTCAAGCTAAAAAGCAAAGTTCAGAAAAACAAGAAGAAAAATTTAAAGTAAAACGTGACGATGAGACACGAAGACAAAACAAACGTGTGAAATGAAACAGAATATTTAACTCTTTAGTGCCTGCATGAAGTGAGTTTAAATCCACCCCACCCCTCGTAGGAACAGAACCGACGGCTCCGGGCCCAGAACCCCCAGTACCTCTCCATGTCCGTGAGCCGAGACGAGTCCCGGAAACCTTTGGCAAACGGGTTGCTGTCAATCTTCAGCTTGGTGATCTGAGGAAACACGAGGGAGAAGAGCACAAGTCAAAAGACACATTTTAAAAATAATAATAAATGCAACATTTCACTTCTTTTTAAAATTAAAGTGAAATGATCAAGATGTTAAAAATGTTTATTTTATCATGTTTAATATAAGAGGAAAAGATGAGCAATTATTTTTATTGTTTTATTTATTCCTGTATTCTCCACAATTAATAAAAACAAACAAATGTCTGCAAATAAAACTATTTAAAATGTGCCAGGTAAAAGTATTAAAGAAAACACATGCACCAAAAACAATTGTAAACCTCAAATATTATAAATATTTTCATAAAATGGAATTATGTTTGTGATAAAGATTTTATTGAAAACTTTATTTAAATTCTTTCTTTTTCTGGAAACATGCTCAAATATAAGTTGGAAAATCTTTAAACTTTGCAACTTGTTCAAACACTTTTTGTCAAAAAATAAACAAAATGTTTATGATGATATAAAAATAAGGTTTGTAAGATGCTCAGTCTTAAAAAACATGTGTGTGGTTTTGAACACCAGGGGGCGCTGCACACAATAAGCTTTTATTTGTTTTCCAACAGAAAAGCACCAGAAACAGGAAGAAGATGTTTTTACAGGTATTTGGTGAAATATTGTGTTTCCTATTTGTTTCATAAATACGACAGCAATGTGTCACAACTAGTAATGTTCAGGATGAGAACAGTTTTCAAATTGTATTGAGTCATCTGGCGTTTTATCACTATTTTATTGTGTGCATGTTTGGTGCGTCACATAATTAAATGTATTATTATTATAATCTGTTTAAGAGCCTTAATTGAAATAATAAATGCCCATTTAGCAGGTTTTTACCCCCTCAAAGATAAATATGAAGCTCGTGGGGTGACACTCCAGAGTAAAAGGCCAGTAACAGAGTTTAACAAGGTCCAGACAGATGTTGGGCCCGCTCACCAGCTGGTTCTGGTACGCTGTGACAGCAGTGAAGACGGTCTCAACAAACACAAACGTTCGAAACTCCTCAGATTTGAGGTTGAGCAGCGAGGCCGTGTGCTCCTTCTTCTTGATGATGTGGACTCGGGGCTGGTACTTGTGCATGGAGTTCAGGATGATCTGCAGAAACGACAACGCACAGGTGCACGTTCAATAACGCTTAGCGTTTCATAGACAAAAGCTAAAAATGTTATATATGCACATTTAATCTAAACGGGAACCGAAGGTCTCTGCATGTGTCACAGTCAACTTGTCTTTTTATGGGATGCTTCTTATTAGTGTCATCAAAACGACCAAATGTGACGGACGCAGTGAAAATAAAAAGTCGTGAAAGAGCCACGAAGTAAGAGTCAAGCCTCTGGAGAAGTAACTCCACATGAGACGTTAGGAAGAGCTAAATATAAATAAATTAAATATAATTCAAACAACATCAGTCCTGCTGACACAGTAAAAGACGAGCCCAATCTGTGAACTTCAAGTTAAAACAGTTCCATTTAAACATTTTAATTTCCTTTTATGCTTTAAGATAAAGAATCCTGCACCGGATGAGCTCCTTGACTGAAAGATTTAAAATAACAGAATATAAAGAAATGCTGTTGTCCTCTGCTGTTTGTTTGTTTGTTTGTTTGTTTGTTCAAACCTGTTAAAAAGTCTTTGAACTGAATTCAAACAGCTGAGATTATAGAATAATATAAAGTCAGGAAAAGATCAGAGTTAATTTAAATCTTCAAGTCTTGTTATTTTAAACGCGCTGTCGATTTGTTAATTATTTAACTTGTAATTTGTATAAACAAGGTTCTAAGTGAAAGATGAGCAGAACCTGCTCCGGGTTCTCCCTCAACAACACAAAAACATCAACTGATGGAAGATAATTAGAATTTAACTCTTAATTATTTTATTGTTTAGTAACTGACACTGACTGAAGCCAGCTGTTGTTTTTAACAAATAAAAAATAGATTACATTCTTTTTAAATTCCTGTCTTTATTTTAAAAAATCCAAATGTTTAGAAAAACGTCCCCTTCTTTTATATATTTGCGTTTCCTATTTGTTTTGATGTTTACTTCCGGTTGATTGTGATAAACAAAGAAAGAAAGAGGTTCTCACGTGTCCGTGTTGGTCCAGCTCGTTGTTCGTCAGCTTGACCTTCTCGAAGGAGACCATCTGCTTCATCAGCTGCTCTCCCGTGAACGGAGAGTCCGGGTGCACGTACAACCTGCACGAGACCGCGGACAGGCTGAGCTCTGATTGGCTGAGAGGCCGCAACTGACAACCAATCAACGCTTCGCTCTCAGAAACGGCTTCAGTTTGGTTTTTTGTTTTAATTAATATTCCAAGAAAACTAATTACATTTAAAGAAAATTGTTTCAGTTTTAAATTTTGACTAAAGCTTTTTGTTTAGTTTTATTCTTCAGGTCACGTCAGACACATTAATAAAACAAAACGAAGCTCAGCTGCTTCTAATAAAATAAAAAGTAATTAAATAAAATGTATTTTTTTACATCAGTCGTGAGACGCTTCTGTTTAAAACGATCAAAGCTACTATGTTTTAATAATAAGTGATTATTTATTTTATTGATTTACACAAATTAATGATCGGGAAATAAATATTATACAAATATATAAATTAATTTTCTGATTGTTTTTGTACTTCTGGACTTTCTGCCTGAATGCTCAAAGTTCTGGTTCTGTCCGGATAGAACACGCGAGTGTGGGTCTTACAGGAGAACAGAAGACGCACGTGGTGTGTGCTCAGGTGGGCTCACCTGGCGGGCAGAGGGGGGTCGGCCTTGCCGGCCACCAGCCAGGAGGAGCGGTGGTAGGCGTACCGGTACCGCTTGTTGTCCACCGGGACGATGTCCATCAGAACGATGTACTTGGAGTCCTGGTCCACCCCGGAGAACGAGACCCGGATGGTCGGAAACATCCTCCTGATGACGACAGCTCATCATCATCATCATCATCATCATCATCATCATCATTATTATTATTATCCATCCATCCATTTTCTTTACCCGTTTGTTCCATTTTGGGTCACGGGGGTCGCTGGTGCCCATGTCCAGCAATCACTGTGCGAGGGGCGGGGTACACCCTGGACGGGTCGCAAGTCCATCACAGGGACACATAGAGACAAACGAGACAAACAATCATTCACTCTCTCACTCACACCTAGGGACAATTTAGAGTTACCAATCAGCCTAACATGCATGTTTTTGGTCTGTGGGAGGAAACCGGAGCACCCGGAGAAAACCCACGCATGCACGGAGAGAACATGCAAACTCCACCCAGAAAGGCCCCTGGACCGGGGTTTGAACCAGGGACCTTCTCACTGAGAGGCAGCAGCTCTACCAGTTGCGCCACCGTGCTGCCATTATTATTATTATTATTATTATTATTATTATTATTATTAGTAGTAGTAGTAGTAATATCATCATCATAATCATCATCATCATCATCATCATCATCATCATCATTATTAACAACTAATTTACCCCGGGACCTTCATAAAATCTGTTTTTATTTACTTCGTTTCTGTTGTGCACTGAGCTCATCATTTTGGAATTAAAGTAAATAAATTAAATAAAATTAAAAAAATCAACAAGTATTAAAGATTAATTTTTATATTTTCAAAGGAAGGTCATTTAAAGACCTGAGGGCTCTCAGCTGATTCTTAGAGTTCTTATTTATTTAAAGGAGTTAAACTTTGCTGAAGCCTCGGACTCACAATGTTTTTCTCTTAAATTTATTTATTGATCAGACATTTGTCGATGGATCTTTAACAATAAAACTCGTGAGCACGTGATGCTTTATAAAACTAAAATGTAATAATAGCTGCAAGTATTTTCATGTTTTGTTCATGGTGTCTGAGAGGAGTTACCTCCCAGATTTGGTGATGATCATCTCGGTTCCGAGCTCGTGGAACTTGTCCCACAGCTCTTTGGTCTCCAGGCTGCACGAGATCTTCGCCATCTCCTCGCTGGGGATGCCCGGATTGGTGGGGATGAGCGGCTCCGTGCACGCGGCCGGCGTGCTCCCGCCGAAGTCCCCGTGCGCGTCCAGCGAGGAGAGGTCAGCCAGAGGCGGCTGGTTGCACGAGGACTTCTCCACGAACTGCTCTGTGGGTGAAGCGGGGGAAATAAAAACACTTGTTTTTATTATTTTTATTATTTTTATTATTTTAATGCTTCTGTCATCAGATTAAAAAAAAAATACATATATATATATATATATATATAGCAGCAGCATATATATATATATATATATGTATATATATGCTGCTGCTAAAACAAAATATTAAAATAAATTAATAATCAAAGAAATAATTCTCAAAATTTATAATTTTGCTGTGTTAATAATTACATTTAAATTATTTAAACTTGTCGCAAACACAATATTAATATTACTTTCATTTGATTTATTTACTTTATTTTATTTTTTACAAAAACAACCAATTAAATTATATCATAAAGATATAGACATTTAAACACAAATCTACCAAAATAAAGAGTTGGATTATAAATTCTAATTTAAAATTTTATCACGACTTCTCTTTATTTAAATCAGACTTTTATATAAAATAACTTATCATATATTCTGTCTGGAAGAATAAAAATACAAAACATTTTTAGTTTAAATAAGGATACTGATAAATTATTATTAGTTTTAAATGAAAAACGTGTTTTCATGTTAAATGCAGTTTTACCTCACAGTAACTCCTTCAGGTTAAATCCAGTCTAACAGCTTATTTTGGTCTATTTGTGTTTTTCATCCAACCTTCATGTATGTCCCTGTGAAAGCAGCAGACGCAGCTTGAAGGCAACATGTCCTCCTACCCAGAGGTTTGATGGTGCTCTCCTCCTCCTTGTCCTTGCTCTTCCCGCTGGACATCAGCGCGGCGATGGAGAACGCGTTGGCCCGGGAGGAGAGCTGCGGCTTCGGGGAGGACGTGTACTCCATGGCGGTGCAGATAACCCTCCTCAGGGAGAATAAGGCGCTGCTGCAGCTCCCAGAGAGAGACGAGTCGGGATCCGCGCGCACTTTGTCCCAGGTTTCAGTTCTGCAGAAGTCTGGTTCCTGCCGGACTCATGGTGGAGGCTGGTTCCTGTCAGACCTGAGACCAGCTGCTCTTTGGGACGCTCCGGTCCGGTTCCCCCTCCCCTTATAATTCCAGTCTCCCCCCTCCAATGGCTGCCTGTGCCTCCACGTGACGCGCGCACCGGCCCACAGAGGCCCTGAAGGCGCGCAGCCAGTTAAAGAGGCTGCAGCCGTTCCTCGTGCCAAAGACCCAAAACACGCACGGAGTGAGAAGTTTATGACAGGAGGCTGCTGACAGGCTGAAGTGACAAATCTATGCCTAGATGAGAGGAAATCATTTTCTCTGAGCACAATACCAGGGAAAGGCTGCTCTTTAACTTAAACACCTGGATTTGGGTCCACAAAGACTCTAAACAATAAAAACCAGTCAGCCAGGGTGGTTTGGTTTTACTGGCAGGAGCCAGATGATGGCGAGTTTACATGAGAGCAATAAAACAAGAAGCTTCAGGTGCAGCAACGTCCAGTGAGAGACGTGTCCTCCATCATCCGAAGGACTTCATCAGTCTGAGGAGTCACAAACATCTTGAACCACTTTGGCTGCGGCTGCCAGAGAGGAGTGGATGGGGGAGAGGGCGGCCCCCAGAAACCATCTTATCACCGGCTGGTCCACTAGGAGACTGGGGGGGGGGGTGTTTCATCAGACTGATGAAGTCCTTTGGATGAAGGACGAAGTATCTCAACAAAAAAAGATACCGTCCATGTGACCTGATTGAACATTGTTGGATTTTTTTGACCTGGATGGTTGAACATGAACCTTGAAGCTTTCAGCTGATTAATAAGTTGGTTTCAATATAACTCTTAATAATTTATATAATAATTTATAACTTGTAGAAGTCACAGACCAGAGGAGTTTGTTTTAGTTTCACAGTTTGTATTTATACTGTCCACATCGTTCTTTGTGTCTCCGGTAGGATTTTTATCTTTCATTGTACTTTTTGATCTGGACCCGTGTTTTATTTCCAGTTTATTTGTACACATTTTATTTTTTATTGTCCTTTTTTACATTAGAATATAAAATTTAAGTTGAATATATATTCATTTTAGTTTGACTCCAATTTATGTTTTTATTGAAGTGAGAAAATACTTTATAATAATAATAATGACTAGAATTACTAATTCATAGCTGTAGGACCAAGTACGTTTTTTTTAAAGAAACAATGAAAATATTTTCATTTACACCAAAATAAAGATTTCTTTATTTATCTTTACACACCCACACCTGCCTACACCCTCATTTGCCCCACCCATGAGCCCTTGAGCAAGGCCCTTAAGCCCGCAGCTCTGCTCCACACAGAGGGCTGTGGTAGCTCGGGCGTCTTGCGTCAGGAAGGACATCCTGAGTAAAAACAAAAACTAACTCATGAGTTAGTTCTCTGTGGCGGCCCTGAAGCAGGGAGCAGCTGAAAGAAGAAGAACTTGGGTTTTGATAAAGAATGACAAAGTTGAACTTCAACCTTCGTTTCAGTTCACTTGATTCAAACTTTAATAAAAAAACTTATTTCATGATGAAAGTGTTTTAACTTAAACAAGAAACTAAGTTCAGCCAAATGAGAAGAACAGGAGGAAACAAAAACAAAACCAGCCCAAAGTTCCTGGTTCCATTATTTTCTTCTTTCATAATGTTTTATGTTGCAATTATCAAAAGAGAATTAAAAAACATAAAAGGTGTTTTCTGTTGTTTGTGTCAGACTGATAAATGTCGGTCAGTTAAAACTGTCTCGGTGGCAAAACAGAAAAACACTTTTAGTGCACGTTGTGACTTAGTGCTGATTTGTCTCAGTTTCACTCGGAGTGGGTGAGACAGGAAATAAGTGAAAATTAACGTTTTTATGTGTCAGGAGCAAATAGACCAAAAGTATGTTCAGAGATAAATCTTGGGGTTTTGCACCGTCCTCATTCCCCACAGTAACAAGTGATGGTTCCCAACAACCCAGTTCATAACCCGGCTCACCTGGACCCCGAGCCGTTTTAACTCAGGAGGATTGAATTATCATCGTCCTTATCAATATAATCATAATTAATATGGTTCAGACAGCATGTGTTCAATTAGAGCTGATGAAAAGTTGAGTTATAATCTGAGTTTTTAGACGAGCACGACGTGGTCCACCATGAGCACATCCAAGGAGGACACGAGACACAAATATGAGGGTTCAAAACATTCAGTTTATTAAAGCCGCTGCTTCCTGTTAAAAAAAAATCATTAGGAACCCCCAATTCATGTGTCCACCAAAAAAATAAATAAATAAATAAAAAACACCTATTACAAAAGAAGGTGTGAAAACAGGACTACCGGCCCCACCAGACCAAAATTACAACCAAACATACAAAAGTTAACAAAAATTACCTGTGGTGGCTGAGGCCACCGACACCAGGACACAGCTCCAGGACAAAAAATAAAGGCCCCAGAAAAAAACAAGGGCATCAACAAAAACAAGGAGGTCCAAACAAGGAGGTCCAAACAAGGAGGTCCAAACAAGAAGGTCCAAACAAG